TGTGGGGCGGGAGCCGGTCGACAGGGGGGTTTTGGGGAGGCGGCGTGCTCTCCTTCGGAGTTTGGGGTGGGGTTGTGGCGAAGCTGGAGCGCTGGCCAGTTGTGGGCGCTGGGCATGCAAGCCCTGGGGTTGAAGTGATTTTCTTTGGGGTGGGGGCTCAGCTCCGTAACTGGGATCCCCAAAAGGGGAGATCCCAAAGAAACTGGGCAATCAGGTGGGCAAGAAGTTAGGTGTTTTTTTTGTTTTTTGGTGTGGGTTGAGACTGGCCAACTGATAAGGCTCAGAGGCAGTAAGTGTTGCAGGGGATTGGGGGGGCATGGCTGCACTGCTCTTTAAAACCCGGCTGGTGAGGTTTTTTCTGAGGTTGATTTGAACTCAGACCCAAAGTGCTGGAGAGCTCATGGAGGGAAACAGAGTTTGGGAGCGGCGGGGGATGTGTGCTGTTGATTTGGAGGGGTGGGTGGGATGCATTGATCAAGGGCGACACCCTAGGGATTCATACTGGGCCTTTTGGGGGGGGAGGGGGCAGAGGCCAGGTGGAAAGAGAAGGGGTCCCACAGCTGTGCCACCCAGCCAGATTATATGGAGGGGGGAAGGAAACGTTTTGAAATGCAGCCTAGAAGTACAGTGTGTGCGTGTGGGGGGCTGCTTTTAAGCCCCTCCCTAGTTTATGTGTTTGGGAATAAGCTAGGTGGGTAGATGGGTGCCTTCAACTCCACAGTGCTGGGGACAAATCCACAAAGGTGTTCCTATTCCAGGGCACTTTTGGGGGGCCCTCTGGAGATCTTTCCATGGGGGTGCGCTTGTGTAGATGGAGAAGAGATGGGAGAACCCCTCGTTTGCCGCGACAGCATTTTCCCCACCCCTTTGACTCTTCTGCTGCGGGGTTTGCTGTCCATTCCCCTCCTCCCCTTTCTTGCTCCTTCTCCCCCTTCTGCAGTTTGGCTTGCACCCCCACCCACCCACCTAAGCCCACCTGGGGGGTTTGGAGGGGGGTGTCATACAGAATTGCCCAAAGCCGAAGATGCAGAGGGAGAGAGATCACATCTGATCTTCCCATGGACCCATTTTTTAGCTTAGTATCAAGAGTCCAATTGTATATTGCAGATATGTTTGTATATTCTGTGTGTGATTTTTTCCTTTTTTACCTGTAGGATATTGTTTGTCTTTTCCATCCTTTTCTCTTTTTACTTTTCCTTCCTTCCATCATCACCTCCTTTTTTCCATCCATCCATCCATCCATCCATCCATCCATCCTTCTTTCTTTCTTTCTTTCTTTCTTTCTTTCTTTCTTTCTTTCTTTCTTTCTTTCTTTCTTTCTTTCTTTCTGTTTATGACAGCACATTGTGCACTTAAGCACATGCAGGGACACAGAGATGCCTGCATGCCACGACCCTTTCGTGTTGCACCCAGAAGGTCAAAGCTGGAGGCTCCTGTCACCAGTAGGAGGTGAAGATTCCCCCCCACCTAGTTTCCCCATCGACTTAGGAAACCCCTACTTCATCAATGACTTCTCCCCCCCTTTTTTGCACATTTTAACTTTCCACATGCACCAAATGGCACAGCCTCCTTCCTGTCATGCCTGCTATGTCTCCCTACTTTCTCTGTGCCCCTCTCTGTCCCCCTTTGCTTTCCCCCAACTTCCTCGGGAAACGGACGCCTCTCAGAAAGTGGTGGCGGTTTTTGGACCTCCTGAGCCTGGGGCGTGTCTTCATGGTGTACCGAATTTCCGAGATTTGTGGCGATGGAGAGCTATGCACTACCTTTCCTGTAGAAACGTGTTACTTCGTGGTGATGAAAAAACAACCATTATCCCCTACACACACTGCCAAATTTTAGTCCTTGAGGCAGGAGGAAGGAGAAGGCAATAACGCCCAGGCTTCGATTTCCTTTCCTTTTTAAGCCAGTTTCGAGGCACAACCAAGACGGTTTGTTTCCCTGTTTTAAGCTTCCTTTTTTAAATTTAATTTTCCTATTTTGAGCTTTCACCCCATCAAAGGTCAAAGCCACCGTCCTTTGTCTCCTCCACCTGACCGATGCGGCCCCGTGAGGCTTGGCACCAGTCCGTTAAATGGGGTTTTCTCTCCTTTCCAGTTCGACCTTCTCCTGATCGAGGGAAGCCTCCTCCTCCTTTTCTCCCTTTGAATCTAATCTCAAACCTGCCACGGGATCTGAAAAAAAAACAAAAAACAAAACCAGATCCTTCTCCTTGTCCAAAACCCCAATCCTGATGAGCATTTCGTCTTGGCTCCTTTCTCTCTTTCTGTATTGATTGCTTTGTTCCCAAGGGGGCGTCGGAGGGCCTTCCGTTTTTCTCCCTTTCCCGGTTGCCCAGTAAACTCCCAATGGACGCCTTCGCTTAGACGTTTCTACCCCTGACGCATCAAGTGGGCTTCCTCGGGTGTTTTTGCCCTCGTCCGATACACCTTATTCCAGCTGTCCTCCTAAAACACGGCGTTGGATCTGTTTCCCCCGACCAGATCCAAACTCCGCTCTCTTCCAGAGAGCTTCTTCCTTCATCTCTGGAGTGATGGAGGGGGCCCAGCGTGGGTTGCGTCTCCGTTGTGGTTGACAAAACCTCCTTCACATACACACACACATATATATTTTCTCCAATTCAGGCTCCAATTACAAGCATTCGTACTGAGTCTGATTTAAATATATCTGACGTTTCTCTCCAATTTAAATATATTTGACATTTCTGTCGGTTCTTTCTCTTCCCGTTTCCCATTGTGTTTCTTGCGGGTTGGAAAGCATGGATATTTCGTACTTGGTGCCTTGAAAGAAAAGGGCGATCTGGAATGATCTCTTTCCCCCCTCCAGCTTTCCTTCAGCACTTTGATTCGAATCCTGAATGTTCTCCAGATTTAGGTGACACAGGGTACATCGGTTTATCGTTTTTTGTTGCTCCTTCATTCCGTGTGCTCCTGGCTTTTTAAAAGTTCTCCAGATCGCTCTAAGATTCAGTACGACGCTGCGGTTTCTCCCGCCATGGCACGGTGTGTGGGGGTTTTTCTTTTTTCTTTTTTTCTTTTTTTGGACTCCTTCAAAACGCCTGAGGGGTTGTTTTGTTGGTCAGACTGTTTCCTCCGTTGCTGGCAATCCAGGTTGTAATAATAGCTGCCTTTTAAACTCCAGGACGAAGGAAGGCAGGAGGGCACTTTTCTTAACCGCCTTGGGCTCAGGATGCGTTCCTTTGTAGAAAAAGGGGAAAAAAAAAAGAATTTATACAAAGCGCCAGCTGCTGCTATCCAAGAACCGCGGAGGGATTTAGCCGGATAAAGACAGAGGTTCCCAAATAAAAATGTAGAAGGAGAGTTCAGCCCTTTGTCTCCGGCGGCTGATTGTAACAACCTTAAATGAACATATATGTATTTTTCCCCCAATGGACAGTGGCTTTTTGCATGGGTTGCATGATAAAAGAAGGCGCAGCCAGCGTGCCAGGTGCGAGTCTGTGCTTCAGGAAAGCCAAGCCATTTCGGGTCGCCCGAGAGGATCCCCCCACCATTGGGGTTCATCGGAACGGATCTCGACAAAGCCTGGTCGATCCTCCTAGACCCGTGCCATTAGTTCTGGGGGGGGGGAACCGCACTTGCTATGAAGGTGTTTGGGGGAGCCAGGCTGGCCTGCCTCCTTGTGGCCTGGGGGGGTCCGGTGGGGGAGGGGGAGGCGAGGGCTGCATTTCCGAGCATGGAGAGGTGGTGGCGGTTGAGCGCTCGGTGGCGGTCCCCAGCTCCCTGGCGTTCAGCCCAGCCTCGCGGTGTGGACGGGGGTTTGGGGATACGCCGGAAGGAATGCCATCTTTCCCCTCTTTTGTCCCCTGTTGTGAGCCTGCCATGTGACATCTCTCTCCGAGCGATCAGAAGCCGCTGCTGCTTTTGCTGATCCTGTTAATCATCCCTTTGGGGTCTATTTTCAAGAATGGGAGGAGAAAAGGACCCACCTTTATCTTGTGCGTGATTCTGCAAAGATTTGGGGGTATTTGTGGGTGTTTTTTTTTTTTTTTTAAAGCGACCGAATGGAATACAAAGGAATACGCCGGGAGCTGCCCAGGGTGCGATAAAGCAGCACACCCTCCTGAGGGTTCTTTAAAATGCAAACCCGCGCCTCGGAGGGGTCTTTTTCTCTCCTGATCGGGTGGATTTTATCACTGGCGGAACGTGCCACACCCTGTTCCCGGGCAGGGCGGCTTTCTCACCGAGACGTCCTTGTGGCTTTGAATTGGGGATGCCCCCCGGCTGTGGCGGAACCCCTTTCAGGGTGTTACACGTAAGTCATGGGGGGGGCTTGCCTCTGCTTTCGGGCTTCGAGAGGTGACAGGTGGTGTGTCTGGGAAGGTACCAGATATATGGTGGCCAGCACTTCTTCATTTTTTTCCTCCTCCTGCCTCAGACGGGTTAGGAGTTCAGGTTTTCCCCCTTGTTCCTCCCTGATAAGGGCCAGACTCAATGATCCACAGGGCTCCTTCCAACTCTGCGATTCTAAGATGATTATCATCATCTCTAGGAGCTTCATTTCCTGCCGTAAGATGTGCTCATGGTGTTAGGGTGATTTAGACACCATCCTTGATGGACCCTCCCTGGCTCGAAGCGGTTTATCTTCCTGTTGGGTTGATAACCCAAATTTTGCCCTTCTGGGGCTCCCCCCCCCCCCAATGTTCCCATCCTAGCAGCCATTGTGGTCTGTGTACCTTTAAATCTTTATTTTTTCTTCTTCCCTTCTGCTGCTGTTTTGCTTCCTGTTTTGCTGCTATTCAGGGGAACATTTAAATCACCTGCTTTATTTTCCTTGCTTCCTTTCCCACTGGGGGAAAAAAGACATAAATCTTGAGAAGTGTTAATCAACTGGTCCTGGACGTCGAACCCGGCGAGATGAAAACCAGCCGGCCGGCAGCTTCTTTCTAGATGGGTTTTTTTTCCAGTTTTGCTGTGAAATCACCGAAGCTTTGGTCATGGTGGCAGGTGCTCTTTATTCCTGAAAGGGGAACATTTTTCGGCCTTCTGCTGGGCGGAAACCGGGTTGGTCACGGCCTTGCCGTGAAATACGGGGGCCGAGATGAAGGCTGGGGTCCATGGGTGGCTCCCGGGAGCTTTGTCGAGCTGGTGCCAGAGTGGGAAGGTCGGTGCTCGCGGGCGGTTGCTTGGCCAGCTTTGGGCGCTTGGAGAGATGGAAGAGGTGGCGAGGTTGTGAGTTGGATCTCTAAGCGGAAAAAAGTCCAGAATCTGGATGTGAGTGAAGGTGATTTGCCCCTAGGAGCCTCACGCCCCAGCAGGGCTTAGGAAACATCAGCTTTGTGGGTGTCGGTGGACCATGGCTCCCATCGACGCCCCCCCCCCGGTCCGGATGGGGCTGATGGTGCATGGTTTTGGATGGATAAAGGTTTTGTTGGTTTGGCTTAGCAGGGTCTCCCCAGTTGACGCTGGGGAGCAATGGCCGGGGGGGGGGGGGGAAGGAAAGAGATTTATGAGAGAGAAGGAGAGAAGAGTTTGATGGGCTCAAGATCAGCACCCTTTGGCACGGCGGGGGTACATCGTTTGTGCGAGGCAAGCGGCTCTTTGCTCATAAGGCTTTTTTGCACTTATTTGGAGGTTCGCAGGCTAGCCTGGCTGCCTTTGTTAAGCGAGCCTCTCCAAGGAGGATCAGTCTACCTGCCTTTGGAAACCTGTTAAACCCAAGTACGTCACTGACTTGGCCTCCGTCGCCTTTGGGTTGGTCTAGTCAGGCTGGTATCGCGGGATCCGTCTCTCCTTGGGGTTTCGCTGGAGCCTCTCTGCCGCCCTGCCGTCGGGCTGTCTTGCGGTGGCGAGTTCCACAGATCCACTCCACACTATTGTTGAAGCAAATATTTCCACCTGTCGTAGTATTTTTTTAAAATTTTTCTTTTATGCATGTTGTGGGCTACGGAGCAATGGTTGTCCTCCTCAGTCTCTCCCCTTGCCTGTTTTCCTATCCAAAACAGCCCTCTGTATGTTCTCAGAGGCGTGCTGGGAAGTGGCCGCATGAACTGAGCTTTTTATCTCCCTCCTCCTTCTCTTGGCCGCTCCTCGTCGCCCATCTGGGTCCGATGCTCTCGGCCAGTTAGAAAACCCTTCCTTTTGTCACTGTCTTGTTGCCGAGAAATGGAAAAACCAGCCTCTGGGGTGTCTGTTCCGCTGACTTTGATATGAGACTAGGATTTTCTTACTGGTGAATTTTCAGATGTCGTCTTTTTCTTCCCCCCTCCCCCAGTAAGCAACGCAAAACACCCCTTTTGTGGTTTCTGCCATTTCCGTTTTTCTCTTTAAGAGCAATTTCAAAAAAGAAGCCTTTCTTTGCTTGCACCATGCCCATCTAGCAAGATGACTACTCCGGATGGGGTACAACAACAGAAAATAATACCCCCTAAAGCATAAATTAGGAAACCCGCTGTAAAAACGTGGAGCTCTCCTTGCAAAGCAGCAGACCAAGCCAGCGGCAAAAAAGAACCGTCTCGTGTTGCGTCCGAACACCAAAGAGGGAGATTTTTACCCGGTGGGGAACGCTGGATGGTTAGTGCCTGGCCCAAGGTTAGCGATGGTCTGGGTTCGATGCCTGTCGCTTTTGGACTTTAGAAGTTTCTGATTTATAGTATTTCTCTTCTTTTGTGAGGGGAGGCTTGAATTCTGGGAATACTTTCAAGAAGGGTCTCTTAGTTCCTTTTCTCCCCCACGGCTTCACAAGATGCTTCAAGGTTCAACCTTTTAAGAGTTGCTGAGTGGTTGCACTTGGAAAAAGCAAAGGCACTCTGTACATGTTCAGGGGGGTGGGTGTTTGCATATCATCTGCAAAGAGGAGAGTGGTGCCCTACTAGAGGCTAGGCCTGTGGTCTAGTCAGAATTGGTGCAGCGCCCTGTGCAACAGGCCTAAGAAAAAATATGCCTAATATTAGCTAGATGGCTGATTTTGGGGTGTTGCTTGCTCATTTAGAAGAGAAGCCATGGCTGGAGTAGAGTCCCCTTGCGTTGGGCTAAAGCTATGGATGTATTTTCTCCCCACTGCTGGGGTGGGGCCAAAAGGGGTGGAGCTCTGGTGGGAGGGGCTGAACCACCAGATGGGAGGGGCAAACCCACTAGGCCATGCTCTTATGGACTAGCACCTTGTTTTTACGTTTTCCCCTCTTTGTCGGGTGGGTTTACTGTGGCTGAGCACAACTGATGGAGGATGCTCCCCACAAAAATAATTCACAGTTCATAGGAATCAAACAACCGAATCAAACCAGGCCTTGCAGGAGGAGGAGCAGATGGGCAGGTGATTATTTTATTTTGGCACATTCAGCAATTTTCCTTATTCTGTAGTCTGTGCGTCGGCTGGTAGGTGAAGACGATCCGGCGCACAGTGTTCTTCTCATCCACTCTTTTTTCTTAAACCCTTAGGGGGACTCTTAAATTCCCCAGACACGTTTTGTGGCAGAGTTCTTGAATAAAGAGATTTCCAGCCTGAACATCTCTGTGACATCATCCCAAGAAAAGGTAGACAGTGAAAAAGTTCAGGGGGGGAAAAGACACATTGTGGGAAATAATTTGCATTGGAATGTACACAGTATAGCATTTTTATACCACCCAAATAAATTTAAAAAAATGAAAAGAAAATCACTACATAGCAGGGGAGTTAAACTGGACTAAATTTAGCCAGGAGTCCCAAATATGCGCGCGCATGCACGCAACAAATAAGTGTGTGTGTATGCGCACGTGTGGCTAGTTTTCATCCCTTGCTATGTAGTGGTTTCCTTGTTTTGATTTTTATTTATTTCTAGACGAAAAGCAAACAAAGCAGCAATTTTTTTAAAAAAAATGTGCCTGCTAATTTTGTTGCTTTCAGGGCACCGGTTCGTTTCGACCCAACACATCATGTCCTATATTGGTGGGTTTTACTTCTTGTTTTGGGTCGTGCCATTGAAATGCAGCAAGAAACCTGTCTTGGGGCTGACTAGGTTGGACCCCCATCTGTAGAGGGAGAAGCTGTGATTCCCAGTGGCTTCCAGCAAGACAAGCATTGTGTGCAGGAAATGCTTTTGGAACAACAACAACGACTTAGATCCTAGATACCTGGGAATTCTAATAGGGTCGATAAAGCCTCTGCCATGCAAATTTAACCAAATATATTATATTCTGGTGGATGTTTTCATTGTGGGTTTTTTTGTTTTGTTTTTTTGGTGGCCCAGTGGTGTAAAACCTGACCCAGAAACACTCCTGATCTACTCAAGGAGATCTTAATTTGTTGCCTTCTGAATCCCTTAGGGACGGTTGCCGGAAAGATTTGCCAGGAGCGTTCTCTCCAGAATAATATTTAGCTAATAGTGTTGCATCTCTAGTCACTACTGGCATCGCTTAGATGGGTTTTTTTTTGTGGGCGGGAGGTTAGTCTTGCTTTTCTTTGCTGTTGTTTTTAGCATGGTATCTGTTTGCTTCTCTTGAGCACCTGTATACATATTTCTAGTTTTAGATAATGGTCTTCTAATGATGTAAAACTGCCTTGGGTCCCTCTGAAGGAGAAAGGCAGGGTAAGAATCTTATAAATAAATACATAAAGCACCCGGATTTCAAGGCCACCAAAATCTAGAGGTAGATTTACTAGTGAGTGTTAGGGAAATAAATAGCATTACCTCCAGGCCCTATTTGGTTTCTTTCGTTTATTTTCCTTTTTTGGAAGGGAATTAATTTTCTTTTTGATTTTTTTCAAAGGGGTCTTTTTTACCTTATTCTCTTCCTCTTTCTTCTCGTGTGTGTGTGGGGGGTTTCCAACCAGCCATCAGCATGAAGTGGGTGGGAGCCCAGGGTCCAAAATAGTGAGGTATGAATCTGGACTTGCAAACTCAAATGTCGTGGTTTCCTTTAGGGAGTCCGTCTATCTCGTATTGGGGTCTTCCTCTTTTCCTGGTGCCTCCGAACTTTCCCAGTTTTCTTGTCTTTTCCAGAGAATCCTGCCTTTCTCATGAGGTGCCCAGGGCCGCCTCAGGTTTGGTCGTTTTTGCTGCCCGAGATAGTTCAGGCTTGATTTGCTCCAGGATCCCCCTGTTCCTCTTTCTGGCAGTTCAGGGTATCCCCTGAGCTCTCCTCCAGCACCACTTTTCTCAAACGAGTCAATAAGTGCTCTCAAAAATAGCTCTTCCTTGTCTATGAGAAAAAGTACCGATGGGTCTGGGTATCCCCTGAGCTCTCTTCCAGCACCAGTTCTCTCAATAAGTGCTCTCAAAAATAGCTCTTGTCTATGAGAAAAAGTACCGATGGGTCCCTGATGGAGACATCCGGAAA